GTGGATCAGATGTTAATCGTCTGCCTTCGACTCAGGTCATAATCCCAGGGTCCTGCTTTTCCCTCTGCCTCTCTCTCTCTCTCTGTCTCTCATGAATAAATAAATAAAATTAAAAAAAAAAAAAAAGAAGAAAGAATCTGGGTGCCTGGTGTCTCAGTGGGTTAAGTGCTACCTTTGGCTCAGGTCATTAGAGAAGAGGACCACCACACAACACAGCTCCTAGAGGGTGTTATTCCTATCCCCACTTGGGCAGTGAACAGTTTGCTCATGGGACACCTGGGTGGCTCAGTCGGTTAAACATCTGCCTTGTGCTCAAGCCCTGATGCTAGGGTCCTGGGATGGAGCTCCACATCGGGCTCCGTGCTCAGTAGGAAGCCTGTTTCTCCCTTTCTCTGCCTTATATGCTTATGCTCTCGCTCTCTCACTCTCTCTGAATGTCAAATAAATAAAATATTTTTTGAAAAAAGAAGGAAGACGGGGCGCCTGGGTGGCTCAGTGTGTTAAAGCCTCTGCCTTTGGCTCGGGTCATGATCTCAGGGTCCTGGGATCGAGCCCCATGTCGGGCTCTCTGCTCTGCAGGGAGCCTGCTTCCTCCTTTCTCTCTGCCTGCCTCTCTGCCTACCTGTGATCTCTGTCAAATAAATAAATAAATAAATAAAATCTTTAAAAAAATAAAAAAAGAAGAAAGAATCTGTTGAACTTAACAGATATATTCAGAATATTCCATCCTAAAACATCAGAATACACATTCTTTTCAAGTGCACATGGAACATTCACCAGAATAGATCATATATCAGGTCAAAAACAGGCCTCAACAAATACAAAAAGACTGAAGTCAAACCATGCACCTTTTCTGACCACAACACTGTGAAACTAAAGTCAACCACAAGAAAAAATTTGGAAAGACCACAAATACATGGAGGTTAAACAACATGCTACTAAACGATGAATGGGTCAACCAGGAAATCAAAGAAGAAGTTTTAAAACATACATGGAAACAAATGAAAATGAAAACACAATGGCCCAAAACCTTTGGGATGTAGTGAAAGCAGTCCTAAAAAGGAACTATATAGCAAGAGATGCACACCTCAAGAAGCAAGGAAAATCTCAAATAAACCACCTCACCTTACACCTAAAGGATCCAGAAAAAGAAAAAGCATAAAGCCAGCAGAAGGAAGGAATAATAAAGATTAGAGCAGAAATAAATGATATAGAAACTAAAAAAACAATAGAACAGATCAATGCAACCAGGAGCTGGTTCTTTGAAACGATTAATAAAACTGATAAACCTCTAGCCAAACATCAAAAAGAAAAGAGAAGGGATGCCTGGGTGGTCAGTTGGTTAAGCATCTGCCTTCTGCTCAGGTTGTGAGCCCAGGGTCCTAGGATCAAGTCCCACATGGGGCTCCCTACTCAGCAGGGAGCCTGTTTCTCCTTCTGCCTCCTGATCCCCCTGGTTGTGCTTTCTCCCTCCCTCCCTCTTTCCAACAAATTAAATAAAATCTTAAAAAAAAAGAAAAGAAGAAAGAAAAGAGAAAAAAAACAAGAAAATAAAATCACAAATGAGAGAGGAGAAATAACAACCAACACCACAGAAATATAAACAATTATAATAGAATATTATGAAAAACTATATGCCAACAAATTGGACAACATAGAAGGGATAAATTCCTAGAAACATATAAATTACCAAAACTGCAAGAAAAACTAGAAAACTTGAACAGATTGATAACCAGCAAAGAAACTGAATCACTAATCAAAAAACTCCCAGCAAACAAAAGTCCATGACCATATGGCTTCACAGGCAAATTCTACCAAATACTTAAAGAAGAGTTAATACCTATTCTTCTCAAATTATTCCAAAAAACAGAAAAGGAAGGAAAATTTCCAAATTCAGTCTGAGACCAGCATTACCCTGATAACAAAACCAGATAAAGACACCACTAAAAAAGTGAACTATAGGCCAATATCTCTGATGGACAGGGATGCAAAAATTCTCAATAAAATACTAGCAAACCAAATCCAACAATACATTTAAAAAATAGTTCACCACAATCAAGTGGAATTTATTCCTGGGTTGCAGGAATGGTTTAATATTCTCAAATCAATCACTGTGACACACCACATTAAAAAAGAAAGGGTAGGAGCCATATGATTCTTTCAATAGATGCAGAAAAAGCATTTCAAAAAGCATGACATCCAGTCATGAAAAAAACCCTCAACAATGTAGGTTTAGAGGGAATATACCTCAAGATAATAAAGACCATATATGAAAAAACCCACAGCTACTATCATCCTTAATGGGGAAAACCAGAGAGCTTTTCTCTACGGTCAGGAACAAGACCACTTTTATTCAACATAGTACTAGAAGTCTCAACCACAGCAATCAGACAACAAAAAGAAACAAAAGACATCCAAATCAGCAAAGAAAAAGAGAAACTTTCAGTATTTGCACATAACATGATACAATATATAGAAAACCCAAAAGAATCCACAAAAACCTGCTGGAACAGATCAATGAATTCAGTAAAGTTGCAGGATATAAAATCAACATGCAGAAATCTGTTACATTTCTATACACTAATAATGAAGCAGCAGAAAGAGAAATTTAGGAATTAATCCCATCTACAGTTGCAACAAAAATAGTAAGATAGCTAGGAATAAATCTAACCAAAGAAGTGAAAGATCAGTACTCTGAAAACTGTAAGGCACTGATGAAAGAAACTCAAGATGACACAGAGAAATGGAAAGACATGCTCATGGATTGGAAGAACAAACACTGCTAAAATGTCCATACTACCAAAGCAATTTAAATATTTAATGCAATCCCTTTCAAAATACCAACAGCATTTTTCACAGAGCTAGAACAAATAATCCTGAAATTTGTATAGAACCACAAAGACCCCAAATAGCCAAAGCAACCTTGAAAAATAAAAGCAACCCTGGAAACCTCACAGTTCTGGACTTCAAGTTATATTACAAAACCATAGTATTCAAAACAGTATGTTATTGGCACAAGAAAAAAACACATAGATCAATGGAATCAAATAGAAAACCCAGAGATAAACCCACAACTGTAAGAATATCCAATGGGAAAAAGACAGTCTCTTCAATAATATGTGAAAACTGGACAGTCACATGCAAAAGAATGAAATTGAACCACTTTCTTACACCACACACAAAAGTAAATTCAAAATAGATGAAAGACCTAAATGTGAGACAGGAAACCATTAAAGTACAAGAAGAGAGCATAGGCAGTAACCTCTCTGACATGAGCCATAGCAACTTCTTTCTAGGTATGTCTCCTAAGGCAAAGGAAACCAAATCAAAAATAAATTATTGGGACTACATCTAAATAAAAAGCTTCTGCACAGCAAAGGAAATTATCAACAAAACTAAAAGGCAACCTATGGAGTGGGAGAAGATATTTGCAAATACGTATCTGATAAAGGGTTAGTATTCAAAATATACAAAGAACTTATAAAAGTCAACCCTCTCCAAATGAATAACCCAATTAAAAAATGGGCAAAAAGACATGAATAGACATTTTTCCAAAGAAGACATACAGATGGCCAACAGATACATGGAAACATGCTCATTATTCATCATCACGGAAATGCAAATCAAAACCACAAGATATCACCTCACACCTGTCAGAAAGGCTAAAATCAAAAACATAAGAAACATCAAGTGTTGGCAAAGATGTGGAGAAAAAAGAACATTTGTGCACTGTTGGTGAGAATGCGATCTGTTGCAGCCACTGTGGAAAACAGTATGAAGGTTCCTCAAACATTAAAAACAGAAATGCCATATGATTCAATTATTCTACTACTGGCTATTTACCTGAAACAAAGAAAACACTAATTTAAAAAGATATGTGCACCCCTGTATTTTTGCAGCATTATTTACAATAGTCAAGATATGGAAGCAATGTAAGTGTCCATCAACAGACAAATGGATAAGGAAAATGTAGTATATAATGGAATATTATACAACCATAAAAAATAAGATTGTGCCATTTGAGAAAACATGGGTATTTATGGTAACTGAAATAAATCAGACTGAGAAAGAGAAATACCATATGACTCCACTCATAAGTGGAATCCATAAAAAAAAAGAATAAACAAACAAAAAGCAGAATCCGACCTATAAATACAGAGAACAAACTGATGGTTGCCAAAGGGGAGTGGAGTGAGGAGGTCGGGCAAAATGGGTTCAGGGGAGAAGGAGATCCAGGCTTCTAGTTATGGAATGAATGTGTCATGGGAATAAAAGCTGCACAAGAAGAAAAAAAAATGTAAGATATATATATATATATATATAGACATATATGTATACAATTTAATATTGTATGTGTACAATATTCAGTCATACATATTTATTATATAAATTATATAACTACAATTTAATATTCAGCTATGAGAGAGAAGGAAATCCTGCCATTTGTGACAGCAGGGACGGATCTTGAAGGCATTATGTTAAGTGAAGTTAAGTCTGACAGAGAAAGACAAATACTGTATGATGTCACTTACACGTGGCTTCTAAAATGGTCAAACTCATAAAAACAAAGAGGTGGTGGCCAGGGGCTGGGGAAGGGGGGAAATGTTTATAGTTACAGTTATAAAATGAGTAAGCTCTGAGTATCTAAGGTAGAGCATGGTGACTATAGTTGACAATACTGTATTATGTACCTGAAACCTGCAAAGAGAGTAAATCTTATATGTTTTCACCATAAAAAGGAAATGGTAATTATGTGAGGTATTGGAAGTATTAACTAATCCTACTGTGATAATCATTCTGCAATATACAAGTCTATCAAATCGTTGTATTATACACCTTACCCATTATGTCAACTGTATCTCAATAAAGCTGGAAAAATCATTATATACTTTGAATGGGTACAGTTTGTTGTACATAAACATTACTTCAGTGAAGTTGTTTTTTAAAAATAGTATGGAAAGATCATCCTTACTCAGTTAAAGGGAGGATAAAAGACTTACCTGGATTTGAAACAATAAGCATCTTACAGTCAGGACTATGCTGGACTATGGAAGGAATGATTGATTTCATGATGTTCACATTCCGTTGCACCAGGGCAAGGCGACTTTCTCCCTCCTGTTGCCGTGCACCTGCTGTCACAATAACTAATTTGGAGTTTGCAGATACTATGTAATCTAAAAAGAAACAGAAGGCAATACTTGGATCAAGAATGCCATAATTACTGTGCCTTACTTCTTTAAAAGTCTATTGTAAAACCTTGGTACTAAAGTACTCATCTATCAGGATGCCTGGGTGGCTCAGTCGGTTAAGTGTCTGCAGCTCAGGGCATGATCCCAGGTCCCTGGGATTGAGCCCTGCTTCAGCTTCCTGCTCAGCAGGGAGTCTGTTTCTCCCTCTCCTTCTACCCTCCCCCACAGTCACCCTCTCTATGACTCTCAAATAAATAAAAATCTTAAAAAAATAAAGTACTCATCTATCATAAATAAACAAATAAGGTATACATCTACCTTCATACTGGCATTTACAGATGAAAAGACTTTCCACATAGCAATGTTACATCACATAACCTGAAGGAGGCCTTGTTACTATGACTTACCAGTTGTCACTTTTTTTTTTTTAATAATAACATATCCTACCATCCCTTTTAGCCCACATTCTCATTTCTTTTTAAGGCCTGAGGCAATGCAAGTCAGCATGCTCTGGACTCTTAGAAACACTTTATGAAGCTTAGAACTCTGAGAATTTATGTCTATTTCAAGATTCTAAGAATGAGTATGTATTTACTTCTATGATAAGGGACTACATTTGAGATCACAAAGTAGTTCTTGATCCTCACAGAAGGTATAAACTACTTTCTAGGTCTAATGACCAGTCATACAACTGTTTGACCTATTAAATCTAATGATAATATGATATGATGCTCACTATCCCATAGTGGACTTTTAAAAAAGCATTATATACCTTGAACTCATGACCCTGAGGTCAAGAGTTGCATGCTCTTCAAACTGAGCCAGCCAGGTGCCCCTGGGCTCCTTTTAAAAAAGGAAATCTGCTGACTTTTAAAGACATATTCTATCTCCATTTATGGCCATTTCTTATTTTTCCAATCCAAAACAGAAGATAATTTATAAGCCATAAACATTTTAATATTTTCCTGTCTCAGCAAAGATTTTAACTAGAAAGATAAACTTAGAAAGATGGCATGCCTTAGCCTGACATGTTTCAAACATTCTCTAGGAAATTCTCTCTCCTTTGTATCAAGTAAAAGACCTACAGGAGAAAGTCCTTTTCTTTCTGCACAGTTAACTAATTCTTGTTCAAAGACCTTGCTTGACTCAAATTCACCTTCTATAAAGTCTTATCTAACCATAGAAATCAAAAGTAATCTCTCAATCTCTCTCTTTCCCCATCCCTCTTTCCCCTCCTCTTACCCCCTAAACTCTGCGGAGTCATTTCTCCGCAGTTCAGATTATTTGAAATATTACAATGTCCAACAAATACAATTAAACTTTCTACCAAAGTAAAAGATCAAGTCTTTTCATCATCTGCCTCCAAATGATATTACTAGCTTTGTGTCTTAATTTTATGTCAGATTTTCCAGGTCCCCTGATTCTGCTAATGCCATCATCTCTTCACCTGTTATTTTCCTTTGTAAATATAACTCAAACCTCCAAGACACAGCAAATCATAATGATCTGGAGCAAAGGCTCTAAGGTCCAACTGCCTGACTCTGCCACTTCTTGCTGTGTTACTGACCCTCGACAAGTACTTTGCCTGCTCCTCTGACCCTTATATCCTCATCTGCCAGACTGAGCTAAAAACAGTTTTATATGGTTCTTAAAAATGATTCAGCATTGGGGCGCCTGGGTGGCTTAGTCATTAAGAATCTGCCTTTGGCTCGGGGCATGATCCCAGGGTCCTGAGATCGAGCCCCAAATCGGGCTCCCTGCTCAGCAGGAAGCCTGCTTCTCCCTCTTCCACTCCCCCTTGCTTGTGTTCCCTCTCTTACTGCCTCTCTCTGTCAAATAAATAAATAAAATCTTAAAAAACAAAAAGGGGCACCTGGGTGGCTCAGTGGGTTAAGCCTCCGCCTTCAGCTCAGGTCATGATCTTGGGGTCCTGGAATCAAGCCCTGCATTGGGCTCTCTGCTCAGTGGGGAGTCTGCTTCCCCCCTCTCTTTCTCTGCCTGCCTCTGCCTACTTCTGATCTCTGTTAAATAAATAAATAAAATCTTAAAAAAAAAAAAAACTTTCACCAAAAATTATAAAAAAAAAAAAGAAAGAAAGAAAGAAAGAAAGAAACCTCCCTTAAAAAAAAAAAAGATATCAAGACAGGCATATATCAACTACAGCTTCAAAATGCCAATATATACCAGAGAAAAGAATTGACTGAGATGGGTATTAAGGAGGGCAAGAAGCCTGCTTCTCCCTCTCCCACTCCCCCTGCTTGTGGTCCCTCTCTTGCTGGGTCTCTCTCTCTGTCAAATAAATAAATAAAATCTTAAAAAAAAAAAAAAAAAGAGGGGCGTCTGGGTGGCTCAGTCGTTAAGTGTCTGCCTTCAACTCAGGTCATGATCCTGAGATCCTAGGATCGAGCCCACACGGGGCTCCTTGCTTCGCGGGGAGCCTGATTCTCCCTCTGCCTCTTCCCCTGCTTGTGCTTTCTCTCTCTCTCTCAAATACATTTTACTGGGCAATCAGGCCATCACCATGGTGAAGCTGAGCAAAGAGGCCAAGCAAACAGAGGCTGGGGCAGCTCTTCAAAGATGGCCAATATGCCACCCACTGGGACTTTAGTCCTCCCATGATTTACCGGGGATTTTAGAGATGTACAGATCCTGGAAAGCCTGAACCAACTGCTTTGAACCTACTTTGGGGATACTATTCAGTTATCTGGATTTGGAAGTAAGCAATAGACAGGAGCAACATGAAAGGCATGCACACTAGCTGGGATAAGAGATGGGACCTCATTCAGCCACTCACCAGTTGGATGGAACAGGCTTCTTACCACCCAGATGCATCTGTGGCAGAATGGAACTTCTACGGAATTATTTATGAAAGGCTGCATCAAATAGGTGTTTTTAATAATCTTATAAAAATGTCTATTTTGGGACCTTTCAATTTCTAAATGAATTTTAGAATGAATTTAGTGTCTATAGAACATAGAGCATTTTGAGATTTTGACTATGGTTGCGTATCATCTATAATCAAGAGAAGAATGGACATCTTACAAATAGACTTCCATATGCAAGGCCTATCTATTTATGTATTTAATATCATTCAACGAGGTTGTCTTCTTTTCTGAATAAAAGCTCTATAGATATCTTGTTAGATTTATTTCCATGTACTTCCTATTTTTGATAATGTAAAAAATAGCTTTAAATTCTTCTGCTTGTTTTTGACATATATACATACAATTAAGTTTTTATTAATAACTTTATGTCAACCATCCTCACTAAACTTTTAGCTCTATATGTTGTCTCTTTTCTTATGTTTTTTTCCTTTACCTTCTTTTTGATTCACTAGGTATGTTTTTCTAATTTTACTACTTCCCTCTTACTAATTTAGAGGTTACACTGTTTCTATTCTTTTAAAGATTATCACAGTAGTTACAATATGCATATTTAAGTTATCAAAGTCCAAAGGTAATCATCACCTTTCCATCTTCCCTAATGACTGAGGAACTCAGAACACTACTTCATTCCCCATTACCACATTTCACACCCAGATTTATATGCTATATTTTAAAACTTTTTAATCCTATATTATATGGTCTTATACAATTTGTATTTATTTAGATTTGTCCTCAATTTTACCATTTTCTGTGCTCTTCACATTTTTTCTTGCATTTCAGACCTTGTATCTAAGATCACTCTTCTTTTGCCTTATGTATATATTTTTGCATTTTTAATTTTTTAAATTTTTAATTAAATATTTTTTTATTTAAGCTCAATTTAATTAATATATACTGTATTATCAGTTTCAGAGGTAGAATCTGGTGATTCATCAGTTGCATACAACACCCAGTGCTAATTACCTCAAGTGCCCTCCTTAATGCCCATCACCGAATTACCCCATTCCCCCACCCACCTCCCCTCCAGCAATCCTTAGTTCGTTTCCCATAATTACCAAGTCTCTCTGGCTTGCCTCCCTTTCTGTTTTCAACTTAAAATTTTATTTTTCCTTCCCTTCCCCTATGTTCATCTGTTTTGTTTCTTAAATCCCACATGAGTGAAATCATATGGTATTTGTTTTTCTCTGATCGACTATATCACTTAGCATAATTCCCTCTAGTTCCATCCACATCATTGCAAATGACAAGATTTCACTCTTTTTGATGGCTGAGTAATATTCCTACATACATATATTTATCTCTCATCTTCTTTATCCACTCATCAGTAGATGGACATTTGTGCTCTTTCCATATTTTGGCTTTGCATTATTAGTGAGTATCTGATTAGTCTGTCTGAAAATGTATTATAACCTTATTCTCTTTTTTAAAAATATACTTTATTTATTTGTTTGACAGACAGAGATCAAGAGTAGGCAGAGAGGCAGGCAGAGAGAGAGGGAAGCTCGATCCCAGGACCCTGAGATCATGACCTGAGCTGAAGACAGAGGCTTAACCCACTGAGCCACTCAGACATCCTATAACCTTATTCTTGAAAGATATTTTTGCTGGGTAGAGATTCTGGATTGACATTTATTCTTTCTCAGCACATTAAAGATATCATTTCATTGTATTCTGGTTTCACTGTGCTGTTGATAAGTCAGTTATTCTTTCCTTCTTCTGTAATTTGTCTAGTGACATTTTTTTTCTCTTTGCCTTTAGTGTTCTCTAATGTCACAAGAATGTGTTAGATAGGATTTTGTATTTATCCTTGAGATTATTTGACTTGAGTATGTGTGTTATTTTTCATTAGTTCTCAAAAATGCTCAATTATAAATCTTCCAATATTTCGTCCTCCCTGTTCACTTTTCTAATTAGATGTACATGACATATTATCACTTTATCCTCCATGATTCTTAGCCTGTCCTATTTTCTACTTCTTGCTGTCTTTTATTTTTTTTAAGATTTTATTTATTTATTTATTTGACAGACAGAGATCACAAGCAGGCAGAGAGGCAGGCAAAGAGAAAGAGAGGAGGGGAAGCAGGCTCCCTGCTGAGCAGAGAGCCCGATGCTGGGCTCGATCCCAGGACCCTGGGATCATGACCTGAGCTGAAGGCAGAGGCTTTAATCCACTGAGCCACCCAGGTGCCCCTCTTGCTGTCTTCTTTGTAATTGCCTTAGATTCATCATTTCCCTCTTCAGTGTGTCTGCTCTATTATTAAATCCATTATTTTTTTTATTTCATTCTATTTCATATTTAGAAGTTATATTTGACTATTTTACTTTTCTTTTTAAAGATTTTATTTATTTACTTATTTATTTGAGAGAGAAGGAGAGAGTTGGGGGGAGAGGCAGAGAGAGAGAATCTCAAGCAGATTCTGCATGGAGCACAGAGCCCAGCACAGGTCTCAATTCCATGACCCTGAGATCATGACCTGAGCTGAAATCAAGGGTTGGACACTTAACTGACTGAGACACCCAGGAACCCTTATATTTGGCTATTTTAAAAATATAGGTTTTCCTGTCTTATACTGATATTTTCAAGTTAGTATTTTATTTCTTTATGTGGAATAATTATAGTTAATTTCTAATTTGCGTTTCATAATTTCAACATCTGAAATCTATGGTAGCCTTTTCTGTTATCTCTGCTGGTTCTTGCTCATGCATTTTCTTGGTAGATTTAATTAGTCCTACTGTGAGATGTTCATTTTTTTTGGAATATTATTTGTGGAACTTCTTTGAGCCCTGAAATAAAGTGGGTTTCTTCTAGAGACTACCTTAAGTCTTTTTTTTAAAGATGTATTTATTGGGGGTGCCTGGGTGGCTCAGTGGGTTCAAGCCTCTGCCTTCAGCTCAGGTCATGATCCCAGGGTCATGGGGATGGAGCCCCATATTGGGCTGTCTGCTCAGCAGGGAGCCGGCTTCCCCTCCTCTCTCTCTGCCTGCCTCTCTGCCTACTTGTGATCACTGTCTGTCAAATAAATAAATAAAATCTTTTTTTTTTTTAAAGAAGATGTATTTAGGGGCACCTGGGTGGCTCAGTGGGTTGGGGCCTCTGCCTTTGGCTCGGGTCGTGGTCTCAGGGTCCTGGGATTGAGCCCCGCTTTGGGATCTCTGCTCAGCGGGGAGCCTGCTTCTTCCTCCTCTCTCTCTGCCTACTTGTGATCTCCGTCTGTCAAATAAATAAACAAAATCTTAAAAAAAAAAAGATGTATTTATTTATTTGAGAGAGGAAGAGAAAGTGGGGGAAAGGGCAGAAGGAGAAAACCTTCAAGCAGCCTCCCCACTGAACTCAGAGCCACTTGACCCACTGACCCATGAATTCCTGACCTGAGCGGAAACCAAGATTCAGACACTTAACCAATTAAGCCAGCCAGGTGCCCCAAGATTATCTTAAGTCTTAAGACTGCTTGAGATTTTTTTTGGAGTTCAAATAAGGGCCAGCTGGTATCTACAATCTTGGCCACCATTTCCTTCCTTTACTCAAGCAGCTGAGACACTTGATTTTACTGTCAGTCCCCAGAGATAGGGAGAAACGAATTACTTCAAGATCATCCTTATATTAAGGAATTGCCAAATGAGGGCCAGCAAGCCACATCTGGCCCATCGCCTGGTTTAGTAAATAAAATCTCACTAGAACATAGCTACACCTATTTTACATACAGTTGATCACTGCTTTAGAACAAGAGCAGAGTTGAGTAGTTTTGACAGAGGCTATAGATCCCACAAAGCCTAACAAACCTGACCCTTTACAAAATACAGTTTACTAACCCCATTGGAGTTCCAGCTTTATGAAGTTAACTCCTATAGAACTCCCCAAATTAAGCCCTGTCTCCAGTCTCCTAAATCCTGCGAGGCAGTGGAAACCAAAATTGAAGTTCGCAAAATCTGACTAATGCTAGCTAGTAAAAACTAGCTACAATGCTCTGCTTAACTCTCTAGTTTCCTGACTTCACTCAATGCCTATTCTGAAAATGTCTTTATTAAGAGCATATCAATTCTAAATGAATTCTTTAAGGATTGAGAACATCTTTCTTTTATATTTTATGCAGGAGTTTTGTAATTTACAGCAAAAAGACTGATCCAGGTGTTTATCCTGCCACATTACCAGAAAGTAAATGCTGAATGGTTTTAAGTATTTTAATACAGTAGGAGCTCTTTTAACCCGACTCCACTGAACTGATTCAGTAAATTAACTGATATAAAACATACTGATATCTAAGGCAACTGAATACTCCCAATTAGTAGACTTTCATAGGGAAGGTCTGTGTACTTTTTCTTCCCTTTTTTTAAAGAGAGAGAAGCAGAGAGAGCACAAGCAGGGGGAGGGTCAGAGGGAGAAGGAGAAGCAGACTCCCTGCTGAGCAGGGAGACTGATGAGGGCGGGGAATGCAAACTGGTGCAGCCCCTCTGTAAAACAGTATGATGTGTCCTCAAAAAGTTGAAAATAGAGCTACCCTATGACCCAACAATTGCACTACTGGGTATTTACCCTAAAGATACAAATGTAGTGATCTGAAGGGGCACATGCACCTGAATGTTTATAGCAGCAATGTCCACAGTAGCCAAACTATGGAAAGAGCCCAGATGTCCATAAACAGATGAATGAGTGAAGATGTGGTATACATACACACACACACACACACACACACACACACAATGGAATACTATGCAGCCATAAAAAAACCCGAAATCTTGCCATTTCCAACGATGTGGATGGAACTAGAGGGTATTATGCTAAGTGAAATATGTCGATCAGAGAAAGACAATTATCATATGATCCCTCTGATATGAGGAATTTGAGGCAGAGTGGGGAGTCATGGGGGTAGGGAGGGAAAAAAAATGAAACAAGATGGGATCAGGAGGGAGACAAACCATAGAGACTCATAATCTCACAAAACAAATTGAGGGTTGCTCGGGGTGGGGGTAGGGATACAGTGGCTGGGTGATGGGCACTGGGGAGGATATGTGCTATGGTGAGAGCTGTGAAATGTGTAAGACTGATGATTCACAGACCTGTACCCCTGGGGTAAATAATACATTATTTGGTAATAAAAAAAAAGAATTAATCATGCTTATATCCAAATGTATTTATGCCAATTATATCTATTAATTATATAATATGAGGTAAATCACTAAAATACAAGTGTAAAAGAAATGCATGATAAAGATAACCAGTATATTCAGGATTGAGACATGAATAGATGTAACACAGAACATATCAACTAAATTAGTAATGTTTTATTTTTTTTCCTGGGTGTTGGATACATTGATGTTTCTTATACTTAAACTCTTTTTATATGTCAAGCATTTCATAATTAATTTTTTAATGATTGTTTCTTTTTTAAAAGATTTTATTTACTCAAGAGAACATGAGCAGGGGGAGGGGCAGAGGAAAACGGAGAAGCAGACTCCCCACTGAGTGGGGAACCCAATGTGGGGCTTGATCCCAGGACCTTGAGATTATGACCTGAGCCAAAATCAGAAGCTTAACCAACTGAGCCACCCAGGCACCCCTATTATCCCCCTGCTTGTGCTTGCTCACAAATAAATGAATAAAATCATTTTTTAAATGATTTAAAAATAAAAAATTAACCTTTTAAACTGTATGTCCTAATGAAAGTGGTTGTATTTTTAATTTTATATTTATGGAGACCAGTTTGGTAAAATTCATTACTCTTTCTTAAAACTCTGAAAAGAACTCTTTAAATTAAAATTAACCTTTTCCAGAGGTAATCTTTGAAGTATTAAAGAAAAGACTGCCATGCTGAAGATCCATCATTTCTCCCTTCAATTTGTCCACTGTGACATCAACAAGGGCGAGTTCATCGGCCAAATCCTAAAATACATGAAAGTTTTGAATAACATATTCTGAAGAATGTTCTTACTTCAGTATTTAAAAAATAAAAAGAAAAATTCGTGTGTGGCTACTTTATAATCGAAGTACAGTTATATTTTAATAGAAAAAAAATGCTATAAAAGTGAGTGTGTGAGTGTGCCTAGAGTGACCAGAAAGAAGCCAAAGTAAGCAACAGAATGTAGCAAAAATTACTAATTGCTTTGCCTTCAAAACTAATTGATAATTTTTTTATAAGTGGCTTTTTTTCCACTTCAGATAATAGTTTAAGAATGATGAAAAGCTATTAATTTCCTTCAAAGGATTTTATTACATTTAACCTTTATGCCTAATTTCTGAATTGGCTGAAGTTTTTAGTATGCATCCTTATGACTAAAATAAAAAGGTGGCCACCTGTGGGAACCCATTTCATGCACAGTACATTTAACATTGGATCTCCAACCTAGGGGTAGATGGGCATACAACCAGACCATAGCTCCCAGTCAGCCACACAATCATGAGGTAAACAATGGATACACTTAACAATTATTCTGTTTTTTACTTTCAGAACCAATACATTTCACAAGATATTCAAAAATTGATTATAAAATAAGCTTTGTGTTTTATGGTTTTGCCCAACTCTAAGCTAATGTAATTAGCTTATAACATTATTTAGCTTACTTATTACATTATTATAATATTACATTATATTACATTATTACATTACATTAGCTAATTACATTAGCTTAGAGTGTAGTTACATCCACAATAATGTAATGTAATTGTTCTGAGCATGCTTAAGGCAGGCTAGGCTAAGATATGACAGGTGGAATAGGTGTATTAAATACATTCTGAACTCATGATGAGTTTATTGAGATGTAACCTCATCATAAGTCCAGGAAAATCTGTATAGTCTCTTTTTTGCTTACTCTGATTTGAATTGAGTTTACCAAATGAAACAGAATACAGAACTACATAGGAGAGTTTTCCCTCATATTCCAGTGGCCAGATTCTAAAGATGAGAAGTAAGGGAAAGGGATCAAAGTCCCTATTTGCTACCCTTTTTTCTCAGATCAGATGCCATCTGAACTTTCTGGAAAACTGTAGCTTCTAAAATGTACTAAATTATGTGTTATATATCAGGAACATAAGGAAGATAAGGAGTTTCACCCAGAAGGATCACATATCACTTCTAAGCTAATTGATAAGAAAACCAGATAATGTTTATAGATCCATTTTTATATTAGTCTATGTATTTGGATCTGTACAGGAAAACAGAAACCACTCTAAGCATTTAAACAGGAGATATTTAATATAGGGAATTGGTGAGACAGCTGTTGGAGGGCTGAAAGGACAAAAAGGGAACATTTGAGGTAACCCAGAGATAGAAATCATAGTTTGAATCTACTACCCCAAGACTGAGGGAGCAAAGAGAGAGACTAAAGGAGGGCTTCATGGAGCCAGGCTCAGACCTCTGGAAGAAGTAAAACCTGGCTATCTGAGTATCAAAACCTGATACCACTGAATGGGCAAAATGAGGCTAGGAGCTCCAAAAGAAATTGGAAGCTAGAACCAACTGTTACCACTGAGGAAAGGGCTGCAGCTGAGATGAAAATGACCAAAACAATAAGCAAACAGGACGGAGGTTATTTCCCCACTCCTGCTCCGCTCCTCCACTCCTCCACTCCTGTCTATTGGCAGAACCTAACAAGATGCTAACTGGTAAAGGAGAAAAAGATTATGCAAAGATCCAGCACCAGCATCACAGAATACAGAAAACTGGGTTTGGAGCTGAGTAACAATAATAACCAACACAGCCTGCTTTTAAATTATGTTTCCAATTTGAATTATATCTCTTCTTAACAAGTTACCAGACAATTCTCTTTTCAAGGGAATCTTCCCAGGTCTGTTTGTCTTGATTGCCAAAGACAGAACTCAAATAATTCCTAAAGGTTCATTTTTGTTTTTTTTTTTTAAGAACTAACAATATCTATGTGAGTCATTTCTCAAATAGAATTCCAAATAGAGAGTTTGGGTTTGTTTAGCCTGTCAGAATCTTTTAAGAATAGTTATGAGTGGGGTACCTAGGTGGCACAGTCAGTTAAGTCTCTGGTTTGGGCTCAGGTTGTCATCTCAGGGTCATGGGATCATGCCCAGTGGTCGGCTCCATGTACAGAATGGAGTCTGCTTAAGCCTCTCTGTCCCTCTCCTTCTGCCTCCTCTACCCCACTCTCTCTCCCATTAAAAATAAAGAGAGAGAGAATAGTTATGATCGTTCCAGGGAGTCCTAGAATAACCATGGTAAGGTAAGAGAAGAGTAAAATAAGAGATAAGTAAGAGAATTAAAATCAATCTAAGGAATACTGCTAGGACCACATTACTCTGTACAGCAGAAGGAAGTAGGACATACTGCTATGCTTTAAAGTCTGCCATTCAGTCATATATGCAGGTGTTATAGTACTCATTTACACCCTATATATTCCTTGAAGTCAAGAAACTATATAAATATGCATATTTTAATATCTTTCATCACTTTCCATTTATCCCACAATGCACATCAATGTGAACTGCGTATTTACCCTCACAAGTGGAGTTCCGAAATTTCACGATAATATGCCTTTGATATTGAACACCAATATGTAATATATATAAATGTCATGATAATATGCCTTTGATTCATTGTGCTGAGCACTCAATCAATTTTTTTTAAGATTTTATTTTTAAGGGGTGCCTGGGTGGCTCAGATGGTTAAGCATCTGCCTTCGGCTCAGGTCATGATCTCCGGTTTCTGGGATGAGTTCTGCATCAGGATCCCTGCTCAGTGGGGGGTCTGTTTCTCCCTCCCCCTCTGCTGTTCCCCCTGCTTGTGCTCTCACTCTCGGTCAAATAAATAAAAGTTTTTTTTTAAAGATGTTATTTTTAAGTAATCTCCACACTCAATGTGGGACTCAAACTACAACCCCAAGATCACTGAGCCAGCCAGCTGCCCCATTCAATAAATTCTTTTTTTTTTCCAATAAATTCTTTATATCTGCAAACTCATTTTAGTTTTAGACTTTTTCTTTTATTTCTTGAATAATTTTCTTCCCTTTCTTTTTTCTTACTGAAATATCAATGAGTAATGGGACCTCCTGACTGGTTCTCTAATTTCATCTCTTTTCTATATTCCATCTTTGACAATCTGCTTTCTAGAAACCCAGTGGAAGTCACAGGGTTCCTGCTTCAATGCACCTTCAACTAATCCTACTGCTTTCAGGAAGATGCTTGTCTTTACTGTCTTGAGTGAAGAACCTGATTCAATTTCTCCAAAGAATATACTCCTTCCCCTTGTCTGCTGATATGTGAGAGGTGGTTGCTTGTTTGAGTAAGGTGCAGAAGGGAATCTGGTGGTTTTCTTCTGAACATATAAACTTTGAACCAATTCTCCTATGTTTGTCCCATCCCTTACCTCAACTCTGTGAGGCAGTTGGTACTCCAATTCCTCAGCTTTTCTTGAGGTTTTGGAATTTAACTGGCTTTTCACCTTCCTCTGCCAGTTTTTTTTAATTATCTAAATAATCCAGTAAAGTTTTTAAGAACACAACAGGACCTGTGTCCACATTGCCAAGGTTTGAATTCTAGCCCATTCACCTATATTAGCCACTTGACCATGGGCAAAATTACTTAATATCTATGTTTCAGTATTCTCATTTATAAATGGAGATGATAACAGTACCTATCTCCCAAGGTTGTCATGAAGATTAAATAATATCTTTGAAAACATTTTTTTAAAGATTTTATTTATTTATTTCATAGAGAGATATCACAAGTAGGCAGAGAGGCAAGCAGACAGAGAGGGGGAAGCAGGCTCCCTGTTGAGCAAAGAGTCCAATTCGGGGCTTGATCCCAGGACCCTGGGATCATGACCTGAGCTGAAGGCAGAGGCTTTAACCCACTGAGCCACCTAAGCGCCCCTGAAAACATTTTAAAAAGCAAAGGGTTTGTGGTTTTTTGTTTATTTTTTGTTTTAGATTTTATTTATTTGAGAGAGAGACAGTGAGGGAAAGCATGAGCAGAGGGGCAGAGGGAGAGGGAGAAGCAGACTCCCCGGTGAGCAGGGAGCCCAACGTGCAGCTCAATCCCAGGACCCTGAGATCATAACCTGAACCAAAGGCAGACACCTAACTGACTGAGCTACCCAGGTGTCCTGAGAAGCAAAAGGCTGTACACTGAAAACTACAAACATTGCTGAAACAAATTAAAGAAGACGCAAATAAGTGGAAAGACATCACATGATCCTAGATTAGAACACCTATTATTGTTAAGATGTCAACATACTCAAAACCATCTACAGATTTAATACAAACCCCTATAGAATCCCAGTGACATTTTTTAAAGGAACAGAACAAAATCCATTCTAAAGGATCTTAAGGGACTCTAAATGGCAAAACAATCTTGAAAAAGAATAAATTTGGAAGTCTAATGCTTCCTGAATTCAAAACTTATTACAAAGCTACATCAAAATAGCATGGTATTGTCATAAAGACATATAAATCAATGGAATAGAGAGCCCAGAAATAAACTCTCACATTTATGGCAAATGATATTTTTAAAATCTTTTGGACTCTACTTTTTTTTCCTTAAGACTTTATTTATTTACTCAACAGAGAGAGAGAACACAAGCAAGGGGAAGTGCAGACAGAGGGTGAGGGAAAGGCAGGTTCCCTGCTGAGCAAGGAGCCCCATATGGGACTTGATCCCAGGAACCAGGGATCATGACCTAAGCTGCAGGTAGACCTGAGCTGCAGGTAGAGCTGCACGCTTAACTGACTGAGCCGCCCAGGTGCCCTATGATCAAATGATTTTTGACAGGAATGCCAAGGCCATTCAATGGGGGAAAGGAGAGTCTTTTCAACAAATCATACTGGGGTAAGTGGATATTTACAAGCAAAAGAATGAAGTTAGACTTATACCTTACATCATGTAAATAATTAAAAATAGATCAAAGATCTAAATGTAAGACCTAAAACTGTATGAAACTCTTGGTAGAAAATATAAAAGATTCATGACATTGGACTTGACAGTGATTTTTGGATATGACACCAAAACACATAAGACAAAAATAAAAATAGATAAATTGAGGGGCACCTGGGTGGCTCAGCTGGTTAAGCATCTAACTCTTGATTTCAGCTCAGGTCATGATCTCATGGTCATGAGACTGAACCCCATGTCAGGGTCTGCAATAGGCATGGAGCCTGTTTCTCTCTCTCTCTCTCTCTCTCACTCTCCGACCCTCCAGGGCATCACCTCCCAATTGCTCTCTTAAAAAATAAACTGAATTACATTAACATTAAAAATGTCTGTGAATCAAAAACAACAACAGCACAACAAAAAGAAACAGCAGAGTGAAAAGAAAACCATGGAATGGGAGAAAATACTCAAATACACAAATTTGATAAGAGATTAATATCTAGACTATAAAAAGAACCCCTACAAGTCAACAACAAATAACCCAATTTAAAAACAGACAAAGGGTATCTGGGTGGTTCAGTTGTTTAAGTGCCTCACTCTTGATTTCAGTTCAGGTCATGATCTCAAGATCCTGGGATCAAGCCCTGCACTGGGTTCTGCACTCAGCATGGAGTCTGCTTGAGATTCTCTCTCCCTCTCTCTTTTTGTTCTTCCCCACCTTCACCACCCCCATCCACTTTCCCTCTCTCTAAAAATAAATAAAATATTTAGGAAAAAAAAAAAATCCTTGGGGCACCTGGGTGGCTCAGCTGGTTAAGCAGGAGACTCTTGATTTCAGTTCAGGTCATGATTTCAGGGTCCTGGAATTGATTACAGGCTCCACACTCAGCAGGGAGTCACCTTGAAAATGTGTCTCCCTCTCCCTATACCCCTCCCCCGCTCACACACTCTGTACCTGAAATAAATAAACAAGTCTTTTTTAAAAAATAAAGGGGTGGGGCGCCTGGGTGGCTCAGTGGGTTGGGACACTGCCTTCAGCTCAGGTCATGATCTCAGGGTTCTGGGATCGAGCCCCATATCGGGCTCTTTGCTCAGCAGGGAGCCTGCTTCTCTCTCTCTCTGCCTGCCTCTCTGCCTCTCTGTGATCTTTCTCTGTCAAATAAATAAATAAAATCTTAAAAAAAATAAATAAATAAAGGGGTGCCTGGGTGGCTCAGTCGGTTAAGCCTCTACCTTCAGTTCAGATCATGATCCCAGGGCCCTGGGATTGAGCCTTACATTGGGCTCCCTGCTCAGTGGGGAATCTGCTTCTCCCTCTTCATCTTCCCTTTCCTGCCATTCATGCTTGCTCTCTCTCTTTTGTGTTCTCTCTCTCTCAAATAAATTAAATAAAATCTTTTAAAATTAATTAATTAAAATTAAAATTGAAAAAAATTTATCTCACTCTCCTCCCTCTCCCCACTCCCACATGTGCTCTCTCTAAATACATAGGTATTTAGGAGGCAGTAAAAAAAAAAAAAAAAAAAGAAAAAAGAAAAGAAAAAACAATATATATATGGCAAAGGATTTGAACAGAGACTTTTCCAAAGAAGATATACAAATTGCCAAAAGCCACATGAAAAGATGCTGTAGAAACAAAAAGGAAAATTAAAGGACTTCCATTGTTATTTTATCAACTTTTGTACTTTTTGTTTTATAATGAGCATGTAATACTTATAGTTTAACAAAAAAATTAAAGTTTTTTTGTTTTTAAGTAATCTCTATACCCATGTGGGTTTTGAACTCACAACTTTGAGATCAAGAGTCCCATACTCTTCTGACTGAACCAGACAGGTGCCCCTAAAAAAATTCTTTTTAAGTATAAGCTTCTAGGAAGTATGACTTCCACCCATTATTCTTCCAGGAAAGCAAGGTATGGGATCATTTAAACAGAATATTAATAAATTAATGCCATCAATGTGTCTTCTATGAATCAGCTTAAATAGTCTAGCAATACCAGACTCAAGATAAACTCCAAATAAACGTTTCTTAAATTAGGTCAAAATAAGATAAGTGAACACATATTTGCTGTCAGAAGATTAGCCCCACAACCCTGAACTCATCAACATCTACAAGACCTGAAAGCTCTTGATTTTCAGCCACCGGATAGGTTTCTAACTTACCTTCAATAAGATACAAATAGCACAAGCCATGCCTACAGCACCAGTTCCAACAATGGTGATCTTACTCTGGGAGGCTTCATCTTCCTCAATTAGACTCTCAATAAGCTTCTCCTTGATAGTTGACATTTTGAAAACCTGATAGGGATAATGAAATTTCTGTGGAATCAAATTCCCTAAACTGATCACGCTCATAGGTATCAACATACTAACCACACTGAACATCTAGGGGCTTACCTACTGAGTTTGCAGAATGTTGGAGCCGCGTGTGGGGGGAAAGTGAAAAAAGGGGTGTGGAGAGGCAGAGGAGAACCAGTCTGCCTAGGTGTTGGGTCACCAATGAGCTTTTTTATTTCTCCCAGCCCTCAAGCTATCATTTTCACCCCAGTACTAGACACTCACAAGTGCTTTGCTTGGCGCAACTCAGTACAGACAGCCAGAACACAGAACTCACTGCCCTTAAGGAAGATTAAAAAGAAAAAAGAAAAAAAAGTTTACACCAAAAGGAAGCCACCAACGGCACTTAAATGCGAAGCGCTGCGACTGTTGCTCTACCGACTGCCAACGTCAAGAATGCTCTCACGCATGACTCTTTCGTCAGTACGCAAGCCCCGCCCATCGCTAGCCCAGGCGCAGGCGCATTCGCAGACATTTAGCGGCCCCTCATTCTGGGAGGGGGCGGTGTCGGAGTGAGTGTTTTTGGGTCCTCGGTACCCCTGTGAAGAATTCTAGGCTATCTTTAAGAACGTGCGAAACAGGGATTTGGGGAGTATAGTTTCATTTCCCTCAACAAGCCTAAGCCTGGGACTGATTTTAGTGCTGAATTTTTGGAAACCGTCATGACTACAGGCTGATGAGGGTCAGGCTCGAGGCCCCAGGGAGAGAAACCTCTCCTTCCAGCACCTCCTGTTCTTCCAGATAACTTGCCTCTTTCTGAGAGGACATGCTGGAGGGACCTGAGCCTCAGCGATGATTTAAGTAAAGGGTGGGCTTGGGAATGACCAACCTGAATTTGAGGAATGTACTTTTCAATGTACTTACCATACCCTTGTCTACACATTTATCTGCAGGAATTTAAAACATTATTATTGAGCTCTGTAACTTCAGAATGGAGTGCTGAAATAGAGATTGAATTAAAGTAGCAATTTTGAGGACCTGTTTAGCTAGAGGACTCCATCAAGGTTAAAACAATAACGTTGTTTAACCCTTAAACTATCCCTGCTCCCCTTCCCCCAGGGGATTTATTTAAAAACAAGTCCTCGAAACCAGCTCCAGGTAACAAAGCTCAAATACAAGGGTGGGTTGGGGGGGGGGCAGGGGGCGGATGCATACTGTCTCCCTAGCTACCAAGGAGTATGGGCCCCTCCCTTTGGGCACATTTTGGGCGCCAATTCTGACCAAGGTGATAGGCTGGTTCAAATGTCTATTAGGGTAAATTGTAATTCAGTTAGTCACCTAGCATGACTGTGCAGCTTCCTCTGTGTGTTACAATCTCATTGGCCACCTCTGTGTGGCCAGGCCCAACCACATGGCCTTTGCCCTTAAAAGCTAGTCCGTGAAAGAAAGAAGGGTCGCTCTCTTTTGTAAGAGGCGCGGCCCTGAACGTTGGGTTAGATTCTTGATGCTTGGGGCGAAATAAACTTTGCTTGACCTTCGCTTTATATCAGTCTTGCTCCTTTAATCATGGACCCGTTATTGGGGCATAATAGCTACAATCCAAGCTAACTTAATCATTTTGCTTGGTGGCAATCTAAATACAGGAAGGCCAAGATGTATACATTCCAACAACTGCCAAAGTGCAGTAGGAATGCAGTAAAGAATTCTGAAAGAACAAGTCTTTGACGTCCTGATGCTTTGACAACATGGGCTTTAGTGGAAAAAATGTTCATCCATCTACATGCATATATATGGACATATATATATATATAAAATGGAGAACTATATTCTGAACATTCCATTTGCTTCCCCGACTAAGGCATATTTAATCCACTTCCCAAGGTTAAGACTAAAACGAGATCATATTATATTTATTTATTTATTTATTTATTTTAAATATTTTATTTATTTGACAGAGAGACACAGCAAGAGAGGGAACACAAGCAGGGGGAGGGGGAGAGGAAGAAGCAGGCTCCGGAGCCGGATTCAGGGCTCCATCCCAGGACTCTGGGATCAGGACCTGAGCCGAAGACAGATGCTTAACTGACTGAGCCTCCCAGTTACTGCATAAAATGAGATCATATTACATTTAAAAGAATCAGGGCTTCTTGCAGAGCTGGCCTATTCCTTGCCTGGGGCAAGAAGATACAAGGTGATCTTGGAAGACTTTTTGTGTCAGAAAATGAGGAAGCTTTACAAGATTAAATCTAAAAAATTCACGAAAGATTAGGTTAATAAATCATTATTATTTCCAGTCATGTTGGTACTAATTTATTGTATCAGATATGAAATTAATAAATGTAAATAATTTTTTTTTAAAAAAACAAGTTTACTAGAGGCCAGGCATAAGTACAGGTTTCTAGTTGGAATAATTAAGAAGTTCGAAGATTTGATAGTGGTGAAGGTTGTATAACTATGCAAATCCACAGAATTAAACTTTAAAAGGTGAATTTTAGGGATGCCTGGGTGGCTCAGTCATGGGGAAGATTGAGCCCTGCTTCCAGCTCCCTGCTCAGTGGGGAAGCCTGCTTCTCCCTCCCCCTCTCCCCCTGCTTGTATTCCCTCTCTCCATTTCTGTCAAATAAATACAATCTTTAAAAAATAAAAGGAGAACTTCATGTGTAAATTATAACCTAAGGCTTAAAAAAAAAAACTATAGAAAAGCAAATCCTATTATACTCCTTGTCAAGACTACATAATTTGCAGGAGTGACTGGTTCCCTCAGTCAGTTAGGCCTCCAACTTGGTTTTGTCTCAGGTCATGGAGACAGAGCTCCGCAGTTGGGGCTCAAGTCATGATCTAATGGGTCCTGAGATCTAGCTGTGCGTCTGGTTCCACACTCAGCACGGAGTCTGCTTGAAGATCCTCTCTGTTCCTCGCCTCCCTCTCTCAAATAAATCTTTTAAAAAGACTACATAGTTCAGTCTTGTCCTTTTACATTTGAGACACACTTGGAAAAAAGCCTAATTCTTTCTCTTCATTCTCAGGAAGTAAACTGGTCAAAGATCTGGAGAAGGAATGGCAGTAAAGTTGTTCTAGTTAACCTTAGTATTCAGGCTTGGATAAGGGTCATAGTTGCAGCTACATTTTGAGGAAAATCTTAAGAAAATTTTTGAGTGTACAACCATCAGGACTATTTGGTTTGAAATTGTTAAATGCCATTATGTTACTGGCCTCTGGAGAGCAAATGTTCTTAAAAATGTTTCCCAAGATGTGTGCGAGGCTTTGGTTAAGCTTCTGCCTTCAGCTCAGGTCATAATCCCGCGGTCCTGAGATGTAGTCCCATATGGGAACCAGGACGGTGGAGCTGGCGGTGGGCGGAGCCAGCGGTGGGCGGGCTCAGCAGTGAACCTGCTTCTCCCTCTGCCTGCAGCTCCCCTTGCTTGTGCTTTCTCTGACAAATGAAACCTTTCAACAAAAAAAATTTTAAATCTGCATTTCCCTATAGTGACCTAAGTACCACTGCTTTTGTTGGCGAATGGTATTTTTATATTCATGTATAGAATGTCATCTACAGAACTGTAGGGTACCAATTATGATTAGTACTATTATCAGATAGTTACCTAATACTTTGCAATATATTAAAATGATTATAATGAAAATGGTACCAAAACAACATACTCAATCTAGCCACACGCTTGATTTATTAAGTCACATTGAAGTCTGATCATTAGTAAATAATACACCATAAAAAAATCATTGCAGGTGTACCTGGGTGGCTCAGTTGCTTAGTGTCTGCCATTGGCTCATGTCAGCAGCCCCCATCCGGCTCCCTGCTCAGCAGAAAGCCTGCTTCTTCGTCTCCCTCTCCGTGTTCCCTCTCTGTCAAATAAAACCTTTCAAATAAAAAAAATCATTGCAGGAACAACTGGGTGGCTCCCTCGGTTAAGTGTCTGCCTTTGGCTCAGGTCATGATCCCAGGGTCCTGGGATGAAGTCCCGCATCAGGCTCCTTGCTCAATGGGGAGCCTACCTCTCCCCCTGCTTCTGCTCTGACAGGTGAATAAAAATCTTAAAAAAAAAAAAAAAATTCATTGCAGTGTTGCCTAAGAATACCCTAATAGGTCCCAATAATGTAAGAGTAAGTAGCAGCTTTACCTATTGTAATAAACGGACACAGTCACTGTTCAAAAAAAAGTCACTGTTCAAATTTTATTTGGTATTTTAGTTGGTACAACACTTTGTTGGTTGCATGGTCTTTTTACATTATATGGCAATGTACACTATATTCTGACATACATGGTACACGAAGTAAGATCCTTTGGAACAGTTATGCACAGTACATGCAATAATGAATTTATATGTTGGAGCCCAGGATGTGACTGACTGGGAAAGATGCACTGGGCATGTTGGGTGTTGGATGAAGGAACCAGAAGTCCTAGAACACACAGGAAATACGCATCTGGTTGGAAGAACACCTGCTGCATATGCAATATTGGCAGTGGTGCCTCTGAGATAACCCATTTAGGACTACAAAGGCAAGTATCATCCAGCATTAGGGTATAGCTGCAGGGTTTGCTGAACCATTCCTATTTAGAACTTTAGGAAACCGATGTTTTTTCCTTAGGCCACTTTGATATTATTTAAGTAACAGATCAGATAATAACGACGATGTACACAACCTCCAACTAAAACCCTGTCGTAGTCTAGACAGTGAAGTGGTACATAAGAAAACTTTAAAACTGCAGCTCCTTTTGGATCCCCCAGAGTGTGTCTGCACTCTTCTTCAAACGGGCCTCCTCCTCAGGAGTTAGAGTCACCTTCACAACATCTGAAATTCCATTCTGTCCCAAGATGCAAGGAACACTAAGGAAGACATCATCTTTTATTCCATAGAGACCCTGAAGACAAAAGGAAAAGTATTTTATGTTTTGAGCACGCATTCTGGGGTCTCCCAAGACTTTTATTCTTTACAATTATAAAGCTTATTTAATACAGGGGCGCCTGGGTGGCTCAGTGGGTTGAGCCTCTGCCTTCGGCTCAGGTCATGGTCTCAGGGTCCTGGGATCGAGCCCCGCATCGGGCTCTCTGCTCAGCGGGGAGCCTGCTTCCCTTCCTCTCTCTCTCTGCCTGCCTCTCTGCCTACTTGTGATCTCTCTCTGTCAAATAAATAAATAAAATCCTAAAAAAAAAAAAAAAAAAAAGCTTATTTAATACAACTTGAGAAGTAGGAACTCCTGTCCACGTTTTCAGTTAGGATGTTATGAACAGTGCAACTCATCAAAATACCAGCAAGATTTCTGTTCTAGAAGAGAATCTAAATTATTGCCATTATCCATATTACTGTTAAATTTTTAATGACAACATGTTGGCAACTCTACCTTGAGTGACTTCTTTTTTCCTTCAAAGGAAAAAGCTTTTCTTTTATGGTCTTCCACTCACCTCAACTTATTGTAAGTTATCAAGTTATCTATGTGAACATAGTACCACTAAACATTAATCCCAAAGCTCAATGATTTCTCTCCAAAGAAAGTTGTGACTGCATTTATTATGTCACTTAAATTTATGTCACTTAAATTTATGTCACTTAAATCAAAGACTGATGACTAAGTCAGTCTGTTTTCACAGAAGACTCTTTTTTAAAAACCAGAAAATAATCACATTCAAATATAATGTATCACTACATACACCTACCTTAATCATGGTGGAAATTGGATGCACCCGCCTAAGATTCTTCATTATACTTTCTGCCAAATCTGCCACAGACAGTCCAATGGCCCAGGAAGTGTAGCCTTTCAGTTTGATCACCTCATAGGCACTGTAGGGTAGGGAAGGACAGGGAAAGGTAGGAAAAAGTATGGTAAGAGAAACAAAGAACAATGCTTTCACTGAACACATGCTTTACAGCAAATAATGCCATGAAGTTACATTACAGACCTCAGTAACGCCTGCATGCATACCAAGATATTACGTATAGGGATGTTCTCAACAGTATAATATATATTCAACACCACGGAATATTACAACCGTCAAAACAAGTAATTATATCTACATGCAACAAAATAAAGGATTAAGATGTAATACTGAATTTTTAAAAAAATAACCCCAAGATTCGATTACATGTTTGACTCAAGATTATTTCAAGCAAGGGATGGGCAGTAGGACGGAAGGTGAGTGGGAGGAGGAGCTCAGAACTCATCTTCAAATACCAGCAGACTAGTGATTCTAACCCAACAAAACACTACACTTGGTTGACAGCTATTATGTTCCTTGGGTTGGGTGGTGGGTTCACAGGTTTTTGTTTTTTTTAAAGATTTTATTTATTTATTTGACAGACAAGAGATCACAAGTAGGCAGAGAGGCAGGTGGGGGAGGGGGGGCGGGGCGGGGGGAAGCAGGCTCTCCGCCGAGAGCAGAGAGCCCGACGCACCCTGGGATCATCACCGAAGCCGAAGGCAGAGGCTTTAACCCACTGAGCCACCCAGGTGCCCCGGTTCACAGGCTTTTATAAGAGGGCCTTGCCTAAATCAATCCTGATTCATTACTCAGTTCTACAGACAGAGGCCCACACGTGGTTTATAATAAGTAAATAATGGGATGGTAAGCATCTGCCTTCAGCCCAGGTCATGATCCCAGGATGCTGGATCGAGTCCTGTATCTGGTTCCTTGCTCAGTGGGGAGCCTGCTTCTCCCTCTGCCTGCTGCTCCCCCTGCTTATGCATGCACTCTCTTGGTGATAAAAATCTTTAAAATATTTTATATATACACACACACATTAAGTAAATAATAAGACCAAGCTGAAAACTTCCGTATTTACACAATTTCATACAATATTCACATTTTTAGTATAATTATGAATCTACACATTGCCTGAAACTTTATAATCATCTGAATAAACAAGTTTGCTATTTCTAGTCATTCAGCCTGTAACAGGAAATTGGATTTAAAAATTCTTGGGGCGGGGTGCCTGGGTGGCTCAGGGGGTTAAAGCCTATGCCTTTGGCTCAGGTCATGATCCCAGGGTCCTGGGATCGAGCCCCACATCTGGGCTCTCTGCTCAGCGGGGAGCCTGCTTCCTCCTCTCTCTGCCTGCCTCTCTGCCTACTTGTGATCTCTTTCTGTCAAATAAATAAATAAAATCTTTGAAAAAAAAAAAAAAAAAATTCTTGGGGCTCCTGAGTGGTTCAGTCAGTTGAGAATCTGACTCTTTGTTTTTGGTTCAGATAGTCATCTCTGGGTCATGGGACTGGCCACATGTGAAGCTCCATGCTCAGCGGGGAGGTCTGCTTGAGATTCTCTCCCCTTTGCCCTTCCCCTGCATGCACGCACATGCGCTCTCTCAAATAAATCAATCTTTCTTAAAAAATAAAGAAATAAAAGTTCTTATTTCTGAGGCACCTGGCTAGCTCAGTCCATGTAGCATGTGACTCTTGATCTCCGGGGGGGTTCTGAGTTCAAGTCCCACATAGGGTGTAAAGATTACTTAAATAAATAAAACTCTTATCAATAAATCAATAAAAATTCTTATTCCTAACTGAATGACCCATATATGCTATTGAAATAAAGACTGAATCTGAAATACGACTTCTAAGCACTAAAAGATTTATCCTACTATAGAGAAATACAGCAAAGACTATTGCATTAATCATTTTTAGTTCTTTACTTCTGTTTTATAGTATGTTCTTCAACAAAACGTCAGAAAAAATCTTATTATTTTTTTTATTTTTAAGTAATCTCTACACCCAACGCGGGACTCGAACTCACAAGCCTGAGATCAAGAGTCACATGCTCTACCAACTGAGCCAGCTAGCCAGGCGTCCTTAGAAAAATGCTTTCCGACAAGTATTCAAATGCTATTAAACTTTCAAACTTTAAAATAAAAATCTAAGTTTTAGGGATGCCTGGGTGGTTCAGTGGGTTAAAGCTTCTGCCTTCAGCTCGGGTCATGATCTCAGGGTCCTGGGATCAAGTCCCGCATCGGGCTCTCTGCTCAGTAGGGAGCCTGCTTCCCTTCCTTGTTCTCTCTGCCTGCCTCTCTGCCTACTTGTGATCTCTCTCGCGCGCGCTCTGTCAAATAAATAAATAAATAAATCTTTTAAAAAAAATAAAATAATATAAAAATAGAAGTTTTAATCTTCTGTATTGCTGAATTATGCGATCTATTACCTGTCAACCACCTGTTTGTGAACCTCTTTCCACTGTTCCTTATCTGCATCCGTGCCTAAGTCAGGGTGCAGATTCTTCAGAGAGACACCAGCAATGTTTACTCCACTCCATACAGGCACTGAAAGAAATAGTAGAGAATGCATTTACTTCCACATGTCATCCAGCAGACCACAGAGCACCCTAACCAGTCTTACGGGCTAATCTGCTTTAAGTCAACATACGCCTTGCTTGTTGATTTAAGACCCTTGATCTGTAACAGAAATAAGTCACTTTCTTTGAGATTTGTAGACTACTGGTCTGGGGGAATACAGAACCAAAACGTTCCCAGGCCTGAGGCCAGCAAGTCTGTTTGAAGCTGCCTCACCTTTCTGATTAGCCCAGCCATCTTTCAGAAAAATGTTTTCCTTTCTTAAGGTTACATGAATGATTTTACTGACCTCCCTTTGAGTATCTGTAAACCTTGCCCTCCTTCACAGAAAGAACAGAGTACTTTTGCACAATTCCTTGGTACTAAGGAACCAGACCTTCTTGCACACAAGAAGAACTAGAACTTCTTGCACAATCTCTGAGCACTGAAGTAACTCTGTAACTGGCATCATCAAATCTGCATGCAATCAAGAAATGTCACAGGCCACTGTGTTCCCTTAACTGATTAAACTCCTTCAAAAGTCTCTGGGCTAGGGGCACCTGGGTGGCTCAGTGGGTTGAGTGTCTGCCTTTGGCTCAGGTCATGATCCCAGGGTCCTGGGATCAAGCCCGCCCCCCCCCAATCGGGCTCCCAGTTCAGTGGAAAGCCTCCTTCTTCCTCTCCCTCTGCTTGCTGCTCAGCCTTCTTGTGTTCTCTTTGTATCTGTCAAATAAGTAAATGAAATCTTTTGTTTTTCTAAAGATTTTATTAATTTATTTGACAGAGAGAGAGAAGAGAGGGAACCCAAGCAGGGGGAGTGGGAAAGGGAGAAGCAGGCTTCCTGCTGAGCAGGGAGCCCAATATGGGGCTCAATCCCAGGACCCTGGGATCATGACCTGAGCTGAAGGCAGACACTTAATGACTGAGACACCCAGGAGCCCCAATAAATAAAATCTTAAAAAAAAAAAAAAATCTCGGGGCGCCTGGGTGGCTCGGTGGGTCAGGCCTCTGCTTTCGGCTCGGGTCATGATCTCAGGGTCCTGGGATCGAGCCCCGCATGGAGCTCTCTGCTCACCGGGGAACTGCTTCCCCCTCTCTCTCTGCCTGCCTCTCTGCCTACTTGTGATCTCTCTGTCAAATAAATAAATAAAATCTTAAAAAAAAAAAAAAAAAAAATCTCTGGGCCAGGAAGAAACTTCAGAGTTGGACTTTTGGACAAGGGTCTGCCTTCTTCCCCAGGTTGCCAGCCTCTTGAATAAAGCTCATATTCCCTTCCAGTCAAAACTTGCCTCTTGACTACTGGCCTTTTGAGCAATGGGGAGCCAAACTTGGGTTCTGGAAACAAGACTAGTAATTTTGACCCTTTTTTCTAATTCTCATTTCTTATCTGGGGAGGATTACCTGCTTTTGGTAGATGGTCAAGACTACAAACACCCTTACTCTTAAACTTTGATTGATTGATTCATGTAAAACTAAGAATTTTCACCATATCCTAACTTGTTTCCCTACTCTACTGCGATGTTTAATCCGTATGTATTTGAAAAATAAAGACACTAAGAGATCATAAAGGGAATTTTCTTGGCGTAAGTAACTGAGAATGCTGCACAAAATTAAAACATCTCTTAGCTTTGATATAACTTTTCATCTCCTTCATTTGGATTGGCTGACCTTATCTGAGCCACAAAGTTCAAGTCAAGTCTAGACACAGCTGTGATTTCAAATGACTGAGGTCATCCTTAGAACCATCCTCTTATTTTAATATGTCCACTGTAAGGAGTAAAAGAAATTTCATTCCCCATCCATGGCATAGGGATGCCATAAAATGTTACATCAAAGTTAAAATCTTTTTTTTTTTTTTTTTTTTTTTTTTTTTTTAAAGATTTTATTTATTTATTTGACAGAGAGAGATCACAAGTAGGCAGAGAGGCAGGCAGAGAGAGGAAGGGAAGCAGGCTCCCCTGCTGTGCAGAGAGCCCGATGCGGGGCTCGATCCCAGGACCCTGGGATCATGACCCGAGCCGAAGGCAGCGGCTTAACCCACTGAGCCACCCAGGCGCCCCTACATCAAAGTTAAAATCTTAACCCTTCTTAACATACAATTATACCAAAAGACAGATTTCTAGAAACCATCCTACTCCAATGAATGGGTATCTGATTTCAGCTCTGGTTTAATAATGAAATTTCTGTAAATATTTTAAATAAATTTTTTTTGGAAACAAAAAGAGAAAATAAGTTATGCTTACCACTGGAGTCTCCATGCTCCCCGAGGATCCACCCATGACAGCTTAATGGGTGAACTCCCAGTCTTTCCCCCATTAGGTAACGGAACCGGGCTGAATCAAGATTGCAACCACTTCCAATAACACGGTTTTTGGGAAAGCCACTTATCTTCCAAGCCACATAGGTCAGGATATCCACTATGAAGAAAATATTTAGGCAAAGATACTAGGTAAATTATTAGATAATGTTTAGCTAGTCAAGATACATGGCTCTATAGCAATCTTGATAGTGCTTATGACCCAACATTTTTGTTAAATTTTTAAACCTTTATTCCTAACACAGTAAATTCATTAAGCTCAAGAAGTGTAGTTTAATGAAAATAAATTGTGCATTAACAACATCTTATTCATAATTTACCTAAGCTCCTCTTGGGCAAGTAACTAATTTCTAAGTTCTAACTACATTTAGGGGCACTGTATCCCCCTTACTATTTTAAACTTAATGATTTTAAGCAAATCCGTTCACAAGAAAATGAAAAATATGAGCAATAAATGTGTGTATACAGAACATGACCTATACCATCAGTTTTACTCGAGTTCATCTATTTATGCAATTAAAGGTCTCACCTGGATTGGAAACAACAAGCAACTTGCAGTTTGGGCTGTATTTGACGACATTAGGAATGATGAATTTAAAGATGTTCACGTTACGCTGGACCAAATTAAGACGGCTTTCTCCCTCTTGCTGACGTGCCCCAGCTGTGATAATAACCAGCTTGGAGTTTGCAGTCACATTATAGTCTAGACAAAAGGGAACAAAAACCAGATTACAGCCTTCAAGAGAACTCTAATACCTAGCCAGCAGAAAGTTGTTCCATAAACTTCTTTTATGGACAGTTTGAACAACTGTGTTACCTCCCCTACTTCCTTTCATATATAGGTAAATACAGATAAATGCCTGTACTGCCACCTTCCCAACCCCATCTTCTCCTTTAGTTTTTGGCCACTTAACTTGGGAGGAAGAGTACATGAACACCTTCCTTGTATTTTGGTTTTAGACTGTGACTTCAGTGACAGCTCAGAGGAGCTGGAAACAATCAAATGAGGTTATCATCCCTCAATTTTTTGCCACCTGAGCTCATGCTCCCACTCTCCCACACTATTTCCCTTTTTTTTTTTTTTTTAAAGGTTTACTTATTTGAGAGAGATGGAGGGAGAGAGAGCACAAGTCGGGTGAGGGGTAGAAGGAGAAGCAGGCTCCTGGCTAGGCAGGGAGCCCAACGTGGGACTCAATCCCAGGACCCCAGGATCCTGACCTGAGCTGAAGGCAGATGTCCAACTGACTGAGCCACCCAGGCACCCCGATACTCCTATTTCTAACTTAACTACTTCACTATGATCATACCAGTCCAGAGACATGCTGTTTTGTTTTTTAAGCAAAAGCCACTTCATACTTATCAAGTATGCCACTTCATACTTATCAAGTACCCTATGGTACAGGATGGTCAACCCAGCCCGCAGGTAAGAGGTCACTGATTTTCAAGTGTCAAAAGAAACACCATTTGTACACATGTCCAGGTTTCTTGACTAGGGCTCTTAAGTGTAAAAGGCCCAAGAATATCCGAACAGGCTCATTTATCCTATTCTCAGTCTTGTGTTAGTGTGTGAAAGGAAGTAGGGGAAGTGTATTAAATTTTAAATATTAGAAACAATGTGGTTACATACAAACCTGAGGAGCTTTACTAATTACATGCTAACTCAGATGCTTTCCACATTACGGACATACTGGATTTCCATTTAAAACCATTTACTAGAGGGGCGCCTGGGCGGCTCAGTGGGTTAAGCCTCTGCCTTTGGCTCAGGTCATGATCTCAGGGTCCTGGGATTGAGCCCCACATCGGGCCTACTTCCCCCCACCTCTGCCTGCTGCTCTGCCTACTTGTGATCTGTCAAATGAATAAATAAAATGTTTTTAAGATTTTATTTATTTATTTGATAGACAGAGATTACAAGCAGGCAGAGAGGCAGGCAGAGAGAGAGGAGGAAGCAGGCTCCCCGCTGAGCGGAGAGCCCAATGTGGGGCTTGATCCCAGGACCCTGGAATCATGACCTGAGCTGAAGGGAAAGGCTTTAACCCACTGAGCCACCCAGGCACCACTAAATAAAATGTTTAAAAAAAAAAACAAAACCATTTACTAGAAATTGCAACTTTCATATAAAAGGTTACCAATGCAAAATTGTTCAAAGGCTCTCTGATCCTATATAAAAAGTCAATCTTTGAAGCAGGATTTCAAGCCTGATAGGGAATTAAGTTTAGCATAGACCACAATATAAGCTTATTGAAATTCACCTTTGCCAGAGACAATTTTTGGTGTTCTAAGGAAAAGGCTTCCATGCTGGAGATCCATCATCTCTCCCTTCAGTTTGTCTTCCATGACATCAACAAGAGCAAGTTCATCTGCCAAGTCCTAAGCGATATAACATTTTTAGTCAAATAAAAAACATATATTATTTAGTCAAATAGAAAGGCATGCAAAATTTCTGTATTTCTAGGACTCAAAGAGTTCTGCTACTTTATTAGTATCGGGATATACCTCAAAATAAAGGTAGGCCCCCATTTAAAAACTGACTCTCAGATGACCCAAGCATAGGAAGAAGTATTGATCTTCTCTCCTCACTAGAGCAAGCTTTGCAAGGGCTCCACCACGCCACTATATGGAAGCAGAACCCTGGACTGGCAATGGATGGAATATCACCCAATTACATAAAGCTGCTGTATTTACACTCTCAAATTCAGTTTTTTACATTGATTTTAGATCATTATTCATTACAATAGTGAGTCTGACTAATATTACGACTTGGAAGTTAAAAAAAGTGGTATTCTGGATCATTCTTTGTCTATTTCCCATACATTAACCAATACTAACAGTGTCACATGAAGATAGATTTGTGCATTGCAAAATATTGGTGAAAAACGTCCTTTCAACTGAACCAGCAAATGTTCACAGGTACATCTCCGACCAGGAGCACCAGTAACAGATTTAACAGACATGGGTTGTGAACTGTTATAACTAAGTTAAGTTATACTGGCTGAGCTACAGATCTACCCCGAGTCATCTATGATAACCTTACACTATGCTTATACACACCCAAGTCAGAGAGCATCACAGGAAAAGACCACAGGTGATTCACAGGTGTAAGAAAAACAGATGGCATCAATTTCTGATCCAGCGGAAAAGCAGTAAGAATTGGTACAGGCACCCCCTCATTTTCAGAAGTCTGCATTATGGCAATTCATTTTTACACAAGACCTAACATTGTACCTGTTTTTACTGAAAGAAATCCAAAGAGGATTTGTGCTTTTATGAAAAAGGCAAAAAGCAATAATGGCATTCAGTTGTTTGTTCTGCAGTGAGCCCTTAGAGTAGTAGTAGTACACATCCCAGGTACCAACAAGCTCCTTCCCTAGGGAACTTTACTCAGCATCTCAGTATCAAGCTGTCATAGCTTTGAACTGTGTGAACTTCTGTACTTCACCACTATTTTGTGTATCTGTCAGCAAGATGTGTCCTAAGGTTCAGAAAAGCCTAAGGTTATTTCTCTTGTCTGAGAATGCTCAAAAAAATTTTCTATTAATCAACGGTAACTGTCTTCACTTTATACCATTGTGGCTTTGGAAAGGTTTCACAGCAATGGTCTCCTTTAGGATGGTGGGGGAAACCTTTACACTATGTTACTCCTCCTAAGAACATATATGAAGCAACAGGTTGTAAGCCAACCCTACATAGCTCATTTCTGCCTTCAGTTCCTTATTTCAATCCTTTCCTGTTCAAAAACCAGAATTAATCATTTCACTCCCTTATTTGAACTCCAAATCTAAATTTAAAATATTTTATGGTCAATTATTTTTATATATAAACCAGGCCTGACTACTTAAAATGTGTTTATTCATTCACAAATTCTAACTAAGTGTTAGCTCCATAACTGGTACCAAAATTACTATTCAAGGTGGGATTTTTTGTGGAAGAAAGGCTTAGGATTTCCCACATTTAGCGTGATTTTAATTTTACCAAATGTATGATTTTCAATTCAAAAATTATTTTAAAATAACTTTAGCTTGTTTAAAGGCATGGACTCTTTTTCATTTGTAGGCAATTCATGCATATTAATAGGGCAAAGTGAATTTAAGGAACAGTGTCACCCTGGGGTGCCTGGGTGGCTCAGTCCTTAAGTGTTAGTCTTCGGGTCAGGTCCTGGAATTGAGCCCCTCACCTCCCTGTTCAGCGGGAAGCCCTCCTCTGCCTCTGCCTCTGCCACTCCCCCTGCTTGTGTTCCCTTTCTCGCTGTGTGTCAAATAAATAAAAAATATTTTAAAACCTGTTTAAAAAAAAAAAAAAAAAAGGAACGGTGTCACTTGCCTGACAACTTTTTCTTTTTAGTTCAGATACGCTTTTGCTATGGCACCACATTTCTAAAAAGTTTGTTCCATAAAATGCTCTCTGAGTGCATGAACCTGAATCTTTGTATATACAATGTGATAATGCAATTCTTGGAGGAGTGGGGGGGATGGTGGCTCCCAGAAAGATGGGCTCTCACTTACCTTCATTAAGATACTGATGGCACAAGCCATGCCAACAGCACCAACCCCAACAACTGTAATCTTATTTTGGGGGACATGTTCTTCCTTAAGAAGATTCTGAATCAGCTGATCTTTGAGAGTTGCCATTTTGGACTTAGAACCAAAAGGAATCTAAAGGGGAAAAAACACGCAGTCACTGCATCTTCTTTAAATTAAGGCTATTAACCAAAAGCTGTTCCAAAGGAGTTCATTTTACTTCTTTTGGGGGTACTTGCCACTAAAAAGGGGGAAGGAAAAAACCTAAAGCTGGCCACAGGAATGTTAAAAGACCTAATGCCAGGGTCTGGTCTCTCTAGCATCTTGGTGTAAAGGATCTCACCTTGGCATGGAATAGTATTGACGTTTGAGTGTAAGTATAGCTTCCCGAGGACTCACTCATCTTGACTTATTAACCCCAAGCGGGGCCGCCTTTCCTCACACAAAATCGCTGTGAGCTGCCTGCCCAGCTATACTCCAGTCACCCGGGTTCCCGCCAAACCCTCAAGTAAGGACCGGAGAAACGTGGAAAAATCTCCTGTAACTGCCTCATGGAACTACCCAGTCGTCTTACGGCACGCAAAAAGCTCTGCTCATGCGCACTCTCTCCTCCAGCCCCAGGATGCCAACAGCTCAGCCAGAGCTCGTGGGGTTTACCGCCCCTCCCCCACCCTCGCCCGCGCAACACTCGCGCGCATGCTCATTTCCAAGCAGTGGGCGGGGACAAGAGTAGAGTAGGAACCCCAAGCTTTCCAGAGTTGGGCACTGCCCACGACGGCGGTGGCCGGGGTAGCCCCGCCCACGAGCGGAAATGACTGGAAATTACCGTGCTCTTAGGGTCAGACGGAGAGAGCCCCCCGGCGGACTTTAGACCTAAGTAGTACCCCAGCTGGCTGCCTCCCTGGCCACGCATGCGGCCACGGCCAGACTTTAAATCGCAAATACTTGGTTGCTGTTAACAAACCGGGAGGGAGGCGCCTCGTGTGGCTTCTGCTGCGATCCATGTTGCAAAGGCGTGAGGCCCGGTAGGAGGAAATTGTCAGTACAGGAAGTGCAAAAATAGCTGTAGAGGCCCGGAGCCCTAAAGTTAATAGGATACTTGGTATAATCCTCCATTTCCAGAGCCGGGGAGGAGGCCTTCGCTCTGCTAATGCAACCCTGCACTGCATTCACTGGAAAGATTATCACAGGCTGCATCCCAAAGCCCCACATCTAATCTTGAGTTCCAAAAGGGCAAAAATATCCGAGGACTTCCAGGCAGGCTGCCCAGAGTAACCAAGCTGGAATCGGATCTCTCCTTACAAATCACTGCTATTTCTAGACCTGGCTTCACCGAAAACCTAAGGATCCAGAGCTCCCTTTAATGTGGGGACACGGGTGACGGAGGAGCCCTGCAGAAAGAGGGTCTATTCCCCAAATCTGCCACCCACTTTGTTACCTCAGAGTTGCCCTAACCTTCTCCCAGCTTTAGGTCCCCCCACCCATTTTTCAAAAGGAGTGGATGGTACCAGATATGCTACTCGCAATACCATCTGTGACACAGGAGGGCTGAATTCTCTTCCGGCTTCATCTTTGCATGCATCGTGCCTAGGGCAGCACCTGATACATCTGCAGTCGCTTATTAAGTGTAATTTGCGCAGAGAGCGCCCTGTAACAGCGACAGCAGCCGCTCCATGGAGTCCACCTCTCGCGAGCCCCAGGGTTAAAAAGCGACCCGAGCAGCGCTCCCCGGCTTTCATACCTCCTCCCCCAGCCCCACCGCCCGACTGCTGAGGCTTTTTCGGCTCTGTGGGTTCTGGAAACCGGACCTCGAGTTCTGTGCCATTTGCCTCTTTTAAGCCCGGAGGTATGCCCCACCCTTCATCATCTGTCCTATTCTTGTCCTTCTGCATCACTTGGGCTTTCGACCACAGGATTTCCCAGCCCGACCAGAGATCGCGGTGCCCGCTTAGAGCAAAAGCAGAGTGCGGCTGGCTTCCGAGCCCACGCATGGCGTGGGCCACCGCCCAGGTATGGTCTGCGAACTCTGCCACCACCCCGCCACCCCCGCGCCCCGGAAGCGGAGACCCCTTTGCGGGCAGCGTCGAGTTAGCAAACCAGAGGCTGCGCGCTCTCCTGACCCTCCAGCTCCGTGCACTTGGGGCCAGACCGTACCGGGAGTGCACGTCGGGAGGGCGGGCGTCAGCGGCGCGCGAGACTGGATCCGGACTTGGCGGCAGCAGCTCCGACACTCGGAACTGAGCGCGGGAGGGGCCTTAAATGGAACCGCGAGGCTGACGTCAGGGGGGAGCCGGGCGGACGTGCGGGAACCCACGTGTGGGTCGTACTAGGGGCGGACTCCGAGCCGGGCGGGGCAGTGGAGTAGCTTAGGCGGCGCGCGCAGCGGGACCGCCAACCTACGGACAAACCCATGTGCGTCCGGAGATCTAAGGGGCTGCTAGAGCCACGCTACCTCCCGCCACAAAAGCCCAAGCCAATCAAGCGGACCCTCAGGAAAAGCTTAATCGGAATCTTCACCGCTGTTTCCCATTGCCCAGAACAGCTTCTGGCACGCAGGCGCTCAGCGGTTTGTTGGAAAGAAGGGAATGCCTAGCACAGCATCATTCTGACCCTCCCCAGGTGGTGTGATCGTCAAAACTCGCTGTGTCCTCCACCTGCTGTTAAACCTTCCAAATCCCCCAACTCGTAGTGAGGCCTCAGCTCTAGCCTTCGTTGGTGCTGGTTTCCTTTGCTTGGCCTGCCTTCCTTCCCGATATCTTCTTTAAACCTTACCCATCTAGTAACACACACACACAACACATACACACACACGTGCGCGCAAAGTTGGTGTCTCTCTTGTTTCTGCATCTGCGAAGCTGTGTCTCCTTCAAACCGGTTTGCATTGGTGATGTGTGTCACTCTGCTCTCTTCCCTGTCCGTGCTTCTCTCAAGGCCATGGATCAGTCTACTTCCTCCTTTGTACCGGGGACCAACTTAGAGTCCAGTTGGGAGAAAGATCCATAATTACAGGTTTCTTCGTTTTGAAGGGAACATGCTAATCTCAGTTCCAGAAAAACAGGGCATGCTAGGACCTCTAGCATGTCCTAACAGTTTTCTCTTCACTCTAGGAGGCCCAGCCACCTAGGCGCTCACCTCAAACACGCAGCTGGACCAGCTGAAGGCCAACCACAGATTATGGGTTGTTTCTCAGGGCAGGGCCTATCTATGCAATACTGCCTGTGGTTACTCAGTTTTTGCAACAATGTCCTCATTCAGTCAGGGCTGGGCGCCCGCCTATTTGTCAGATGTGACCACAGCTGCTGGCAGGAGGGCAGAGCTCAGAAAATAGAAGGTAGGCTGGGAAGACAGGTAAGAACTCTCACCAGGACTCTGGAATTACCTCTAAAGGTAATCTAGGCAAAAGTTTTCAGCCCCCTAAATTAAGGCACCTACAGCTCCCTCCAAGCACAGCTTCTTTCTTTGAAGAACAATAGTCTCTACTCAACCTTACAAATATGAATAAAACAAGTACCATAAAACAAGTACCAAATTTACTGAGCACCTCCTATGTGCCAGACAGCAAGCTAGGTAATACCTATACTCATCTTCATGGTAATTCTTTGGAATAGGCATAATTATCCCCATTTTGTGGATAAGAAGCCAAGGCTCAGAGAGATTCGTGACTTTGCCAAGGTCATACAACTAGTAAGTGATTGCAGCTGATTCTTCAGGACTGCCTTCAAAGCCCATGACTTTTCTCCTGTATAGGACGTTGTCCCATCTCCACCCTTCACCCTCAACTCCACAAAAGTGAAATTATGGAGGGGGCCCAGCCAGTCCTAGGCTCAGAAAGTTGCATTTTCAGTGACAGATAGTAGGTGTCGCTGGGGGTCCCCACCTGTCGGTTGAACTGAGACATCAGTCTTCTCCTGCCCTCAGACTGGTACTTATTCCATCCATGCTCCCACTTTTCAAGCCTTTAGACTTGGACCAGAGTTTACACCACCTGCTGTCCTGGGTCTCCAGCTTACAAATGGCTGATCTTGGGATTTCTCAGACTCCATAACTGCCTGAGCCAATTCCTTGTAATAGATCTCATTATAACTCCTATTGGTTCTGTTTCTCTGGAGAACCCTAATACAGTCCAAATAGAAGAATTTCTGTACTCAAGTCCAGGCAGAATGTGGGACCCATGAGATGGGCTAGAAAAGCACTGTTTCAGAGGGCAGACCAGACTTCTCCAGCCTAACCAAGCATTCTTCAAGGATGGCCCCTTTAAAAGGCAACATTTTACAAAGAGGTGGCTTGACCAGGGGACAGGCTGGCCTCAGAGAATGGGTGGTGCTAAGCAACCCATATAAGATTTTCCTAAAATGGGAAAAAAAAAGAAAAATGATTTTTCTAAAAAGGACCTGGCCAAAGGATCATGTCCACCCAAAACACAGGGCTGAGTCACTCCTTCATTCAGTATTTGTTACTCCTCCTCAAGAAAGTTCAATGGCTCCTCACTTGAGGGCCTCAAGAATGAAATCCAGGGGCACCTGGGTGGCTCATTTGGTGGAGCGTCTGCCTTCTGCTTGGTGTGATCCCGGGAGTCCTGGTATCGAGCCCCGCACTGGGCTCCCTGTTCAGCAGGGAGCCTGCTTCTCCCTCTACCTACCCCTACTCTGCTCGTGCTTTCTCTCTCTCTCAAATAAATAAATAAAATCTTCTAAAAAAAAAATCCGAGGAATAAAATCCAAATTCCTTGGCAGTCACTCTAGGCCTTCTATGATGCAGTGCCCACATCCCCTCTCTCACCTTATCGCCTATTTTCCTGCATGCTCCCTACATGCCAGTCCCAAGGCTCCTTCCTACCTTCCCCAGATACGCCATGCACTTCCACCAAGGCAGTTCCTTGAGCCTGCATGTTCTCCACCTTGTCACCATCCCTGCCCTCCCCAAATCCACAGACTCATAGATCAAATGCTGTTGCCTGAGCTTTATATCAAACTAATCCTTATTGCTTCTTTTTAAGATTTTATTTATTTATTTGACACATAGAGATCACAAGTAGGCAGGGGGTGGGGGGAGTGTGGGGCGGGGAGGAGCAGGCTCCCCGCTGAGCAGGGAGCCCGACATGGGGCTCTTATCCCAGGACCCTGAGATCATGACCTGAGCCAAAGGCAGAGACTTAACCCACTGAGCCACCCAGGTGCCCCAAAACTAACCCTTATTGTTGCTCCTCTCTTTTTCTCACTAGCCTGTGAGCTCCTCCTGGGCAGAAACTTTCTCCCTTATCTCCATACTCCCAGCATATATGTTAATTTGTTTTACAAATATATTTTGAATTATATGCTCACTATGCAAAGGGCACTGTGCTAGGTGCTGGGGATATAACAATGAATGAGACAGATGCATAAGTCTTCAAAGACTATACCATTTAATGGGGGAGACCAACAGCCTTCTCCCCTATGGCTAAAATGTAAGAATATAACACTACCTCAAAAGAGGTACAAAAAAAATTGCTCTAGCATTCAGAAGAGAGACAGTTCCTTTGGGTACAGGAGTATCAGAGAAGGCTTCCTGGGAGAGGCAGCATCTGAGCTTAACCTAGAAAAAGACTTCAGTTGCTGAAGATCAGGTGTTGAGAAACAGAAAATGCAGTGTGAGCAAACGCATGGAGGCAGGAAACGCAAAATGTGTCTTGTGAATCTTAAGCTTTAAATGCCAGGCTATGAAATATGGGTGTTTTTGCCTTTTTTTTTTTTTTTTTTTTTTTTGGTGGTCGGTGGGAGTCATAGATGTTTTGGGAGAATGAGAGAGTTAGAGAGAAAGCAAGCAAGGTAGTTGCAAGGTCATGGAAAGCGGGGCAGGGTGGGGCAACACACCTTGTTTTGTAATAATACACAAGAAGCTCAGAACTCATATAGCTCCAACTGCAACTGTACAGAACATTCGCTTCCCTGACACACCCTACACAGCCCCACAGCCCCTCTTTTTTTCACCGTTTCCATGTTTGCAAAGCTGATGGCTTTCCTGAGTTGCAGGGCCCCAGACACAGACGGTCTCATCGGTTTCTGTCCCTGACAGGCCAGGCCCTGCTGAGGACGAGCCAAAGCAGAGGCTCCTCTCTCTGGCAAGAGAGCAGGTGCCTGCCCTTGGAAGACTGCTTCCTGTCGTCCCCAACCCCAGCCACCTCTCACATGGTGGGAGTGGAAGCCAAAGACTCCACCCTGATTACTCCATCCTGGGTGCCTCCCTCCACCCCCCACTTCCAGGCTGCCCTCATTGTCAGGTACTAGAAGCTGCCTCTGTTTCTCTTTTTGACTTGGATGGTTATTCCCTCCAGAGTTCATTCCTCACATGATCACCTAATAAAATTCACCTCAAAAACTCTGGATTCTTTTTTCTGTAGACTGAATGTTTGTGATCACCGCCCCCTGCCCCATGTCTCCCAGTCATATGTTGAAACCTAATTCCTAATGTGATAGTATTGGGAGGTGGAGCCATTAGGAAGAGATTAGATCATGAGGGTGAAGCCTTTATGAACAGGATTAGTGCCCTTAAAAAAGAGGGGCTTCCTTGTCCTTTCTATCATGTGAAGACACAGTGAAAAGACAGCTGTCTATGAACTTGGAAGTGGGCCCTCACCAGACACCTGCTATAGCCTGGGTCTTGGACTTCCTAGACTCCAGAACTGTGAAAACTAAGTTTCTGTTGTTGGGAAGTCACCCAGTCCGTGGTGTTTTGTTACAGCAGCCTGAATGGACTAAAGCACCTTCGAGCCACTTCCCACCCTAGGAAAAGAAATGAGATCTGTGCCCTTTCCTATCTGTCTTACCCTGGCAGGGAGTGAGGGCTCACGCTTTCCATCACGTTGACAGGTTCCAAGGCAAAGGCTGTCACCAGAATATAAGGGCTTCCAAATTGAGGAGCCTCAAAATCAGTGCTACAGAGGGTGTCCTAAGGTCTCTCCAAGCTAGACAATCCCCAGCATACAGAGTGTCCCTTATCTAATCACCACAGGGGAGGACTGTGGGAAGTTGTGACAGCCTTTCCCTCTGACATCTTGGGTGGCAAGGACAGTGATGGGCATGGATTAGCAAAGAAGAGTGGGCAGCCTGGTGGAGAAGTGACACTGACCTGAGGGGTCAGGAGACCTGGGTTCTTGCCTGGCTTGGTCATGGACCTCTGAGTGACATTGTGGCAGTCACATTCCTTCAGTAGCCTCAACATCCTTCAGTAAACCTAAGAGGATCTCTGCCAGTTCTAACACCCAGGTAGGATCTGAGTTCGTGAATCAAG